TTTCCTTTTTGCTTCTAGAGTGTTTCTGTGAAGGTCAGCAATCTTAAGTACCCTATAAATTCACCCTCTGTTTTAAATGTATCCTAGCCCTTTGGAGCTACCGAAAGTACCACCTCAAATGAGGGCTGTCATCTTCCTCTGCTGTTTTCCTGGCATACTAGTGGACCATTGAAAGATAAAAGACTAAACAGATTGAAATCCGGTTTGGAGATGATACTCACATTGTACAAGGTTCTTTTCTCCTTACCTGTCCCGTTTCAGCATTTTTTATCAATGACTTGGATTAATGCCATGCCTGTCAAATTTGCCGATGGTCATGTAGTTTTGATATTGCATGATATATTTAGAATCCAAAAAAAAAAAAATCTGTGTAATCTGAAATGATGGGTTGAAATTAGCCAGATAAATTTTCAAAGGAATAAAACACTAGATTCCTATATGAACTTTAAAACACAACTATAAGAGTACACACAGAAATGAAGCGCATGACTTACTGCCAGGCTATATATAAAGAATATTAAAGAATTTTAGATGATTGTAACTCAGTACTAATTGGTAGTAAAATGTGGTTGACAAAAGAGCTCCTGTGATCCTGTGATTCTTGTTCATTAATGGAAACAGAGTTGGTCAGAATAAAAGAGATATATTGTTTCTTTACTCAGCAACAGATATTTATTGAATGAGGGTGTGGTATGGTCTGGGCAGACCTGGATATTTAGGTTTGTCTCTCTACTTTGAGAACTTCGAACAGTGGGAGAAGACTGAGAAAAAAGAGTTAGCTGGTTAGGGAATTTAAAAATCTTGGTTGGAGAGAGAAGGGGTGGAGGGTGGTGATTGGCTTGGAACAAAAAATGGTGATGTGTAAGTGGGCAGTGATGGCAGTCTTCAGATAACTCAGAGGTTTGTCACTCCTGGAGAGGAAGGATTTGACTTTGATGTGATTTTTTGGGGGTAGATGTCAGACCAGAGGGTAGATGATACAGAGGGATAGATTTGGAGCCAGTAGAAGGAGAGACTGTTGCAGTATCAGAACTCCATTTAACAGTAAAATGGAACTGTGTCCTGAGTTGCTAAAGTCTCATAACCTCAAAGGCATGTCATATAAGAGATTCAAACTTTAGGTATATGGTTAGACTAAATGGCCTGTACTGTCCTTCCAAAACAGGATAGTTTGATTCTTTTAATGATTCTTCAGTACTCAGTGGAGAGGAAAAAGGATTCAGAAGCGTTGCAAGCACTTTGGGAAAGCCTGTTCACATCCACACACTCTTTTCAGTAAGCTGTGGTTTGCTGCCATGCCTACTGACTATTAAATCTAATTCTGTATTTACAATTGAATGGTTAGGAGGGAGTACAAAAAAGAGAATCCATTTCTTTTTATTTCTTTGCATGTCCAACCGTTACACCTTTTCTAGTCCTGGAGATATTAGAACCTCTTGTCTGTGTGTGTTTGTGTGAGTGAGAGTGAGTGAGGAGAGAGAGAGAGAGAGAGAGAGAGAGAGAGAGAGAGAAAGAGAGAAATGGTATACTTTATAAAGGGAAAGACAAGCTCCAAATAGCCTTTCATAGTAAAAATCTTAGTGCAGTGAAGTTGAGTAAAAGTAGGCCTGTTAAATGTACCAAGGATAAAAAGCATATGAACAAGTTTCAGTTACTCTAAGGGAGATAGAGAATTAGAATCTCATAGGTAGGAGAAATTTGTTTTCCTGAATGATAAACATGGATTTCATGAGGTGACTGATGGAGTGTTTTTCTTACCAGAAATCAATTACAACTGAGGGATCTGCTACCCATCAGTGTAGTTTGATAAACATCCTGCCACATCCCTTCAGCCTTTGAAAAGAAAAGATTTCTTCTGACTGATGTCACTTGTTTGAAATTATGAAGGGTGTTCCATTTCATGAGAGTTAGAGTGTGTAACAGTTAAAAGTACAGGCCCAGAACCTGAATGTGTTTAAATTACACATGGCAGACCTTTAGCAAGTTACTTAATCTCCTTGTCCCTCAATTTCCGCATATATCTAATGGTGGTGTTAAAAATAGTACCTGCCTTAGAGGTTTGTTGTGAGGATAACTTAATATATTGATATATGTGAAGTGCTTAGAGTGGTATCCGGTAGCTTAAAGTACTATATGAATCTTCATTGTTGTTATTTAGTGTTCCTGTTTAATACAAGTTTCTACTTAGCTTCAAAGCTGAAATCTTAGTTTATTAAAAAAAAATATGGTATGTCCACATAACCACAGATTTTGTGTTTTACTGGCTTGGCTGTATGTTGATATTAAGAGTATCATTAGAAACATTTGTTTGTTTCTCTTTCAGAGCAGCTTAAGTAAAACAGTCTTATCCTATTCAGAAATCTCCTTGAATAAAATGTAATCTCAGTTATTCTAGACAGGCTGGTTAAAAATTCCAGCAGAACAGTTGGAAAATAGTGGTGAGAGAAGTATTTATGGGAAAACTTTCCCCATGTCTATTTTTCTTGTTCTGCATAAGTTAATGGACTAGTTTCCTCTCTCTCTCTCCCCCTCACCTCCCCGTAACACCATGTGTCTTAAGGCAATAAGTACTCTGACAAAATTTGTTGATAATATAACCACAGTGGATCATCACCTGTATCCGTTTGATACTCTCCTTGTCTTGCCTGCCCTCTAGAGTTCATGGAAAATGTTCTTACAGAATTAATCTTTTTATCCACTGTGGCTAACATCTAGTAGTGCTCAGTAAGTTGAGCCAGATGAATGACCCTCCTTTCCTTGAGTCTTGTAACAGTTTTGTGGCTCCTGTGATATATACACTGAGTTATAAAAATGGTTAAGTTCATTCCTGAAATGTGTTCACAGCTCACATTGATGAATAATAGATTCTGTCTGCTATGTAATTAGGAGAAGTGAAGTCTAGCCTGGAAAGTTTACTAGTCCAGTGTTCCTGGTTGCAAATGACAGAAATTCTTGTGTCTGTCACTAAAACTGTGTCAGTGGAGATAACTTGAAGACTATTGCTGTCATTGTGACCCAGCCCAGGTTCCTATGTTATCACCCTTGCCTCTTGTATTTTCTTTTCATCTTCACCAACTACTCTCTGTAGTTTCCCCCATCTGGTTTTCCCATTCACTTCATTCTCCTGCTCTACCTTACTGTCTGTTGCTTTTCTGTGACTTATTCTCTTTAGGGCTTTCTTTCCCTTGGGGTATGAGGGCTGAATGGGATGAGCCTTGGGCACTGGATCCCAATTCTTCCAATTCAGCACAAGATGACAAGTTACTTCCTACCACCTGTGGGTAGCTTGATGCTTAAGAGTAGGACATGATAAGACCCGAGTGGGCCCAAAGGTCAAACTTGCAGTTATTTGGACCAATAGCAACAGTCATGTCTGGAATTGTGAGACAACTCAAGAGACTTTGGAGCTAGACAGCATTTTTAGAGTATTACTATATTTCCCCATTTTAAAGCTATAAGTGGCCTCTTATATACCTGGTTAATTGAAAAGAGCAAGTTTCTGTCATGTGGAGTCTGGTAAAAGTTGAAAGGTTTAGGTATTTCTTAGGACTTTTGCAAACTTAAAAGTAACAAATGGCACTTCTACTGTTAACTCTCATCTCCATTGAAGATGGAGAGCAAATCATAGAGATGCTAAATAACTAATGCTGAGTCATATCATGGGGGAGAGCCAAGAGTAGGAATCAATAGTTCCAATGGTACTTGTCCACGAAGCATACATTTCCTTTTAAGCTGTTAATACTTTTGGCTACTATTAGAATATTTTTGCCACTGGATTTACTTACTTTTGATTAAATGTCATTCGATTCTTCAATTCCTTGTGCCCTTGAATTCTCAAGTAGAGAATTGTCATTCTGATTTTCTAATCTTCTTTCTTCTCCTATTATTACTAAATAGAAAGATATTTTTGTTGAGCTGCATGCTATGTCCTACCCCTTCCTACTGATCTATAAGCTTTTCCATTGGCTTTCTTTCTGTTTCCTGCTGCTTTCTTGCTTCATAATTGAAGGGAGGATTCAGACCCATCCAGGTAACAAACTACTGGTTCTGCATGGCCTCTTTATTTCTCTATTCTCTTATTATTATTATTGGAGTGATATTGATTGTCTGCTGATGAATACACGCATTCACGGTGGGAATTTACTATTGGTATATTGTTTCAAGGCTTTTAAGCCTGCAGTGAAAACCATAAACAACCACAAGTACTGGTTACCATTTGAAAGATTTGAGATGTGCTCCTTCCAGACCATTCTCAAGCCTGTCTAGATTTTCCACTTTTATTGCAAACTATTTGAGAAAGCAAAATTGGGTTGAGTTTAGTATGAGATTGCCACTATTTGCAAAATGAAGTCTTTTCGTATCATGTGACAATTAGCGTGGAACAACCCTACAGATGGTTTTAGTTTAATTTGACCTTGATAAACTGAGATGAAAATTTTTATGTCCAGAAAGATTTATTGTTATTCTAAATACTTTATAAATGACTTGAATGGTAGTTTTTTACGGGACTACTTTAATTTTTAATAAGTTGATAATGAGCTATCTACTCTTTATGAAAGAAGCAATGCTTTTATACAACAGAACAACTTTTAGAGAGATACCAACTATCCCTTTTGTTATATTTTACCCCACACTTCAAAATTAATAATTTATGGTATGGAATTTTTAGTTTAAATTAGCTGAGATTTCATTTTAAAAGTGAGGCTGCCCTACTGTTTTCACATGAGTGACAGCATTGATCAAAGCGTGAATCGGTGTGGCTGTGCCTCGTGTGGAATGCTTTTTGTGAACCCAGATATAGGCAATTAAGTCTCTCTTTATGTATGTTGTATTTCTAATTCAAGTTGATAAGACTTTTTTTTATTTTTATTTATTTTTTATTTTTTATTTTTTTGATAAGACTTTTATAAATGGAAAAAAGGAGAAAGCTCAAGATAGTAAAATTTACATACTGCCCTTGGTAAAAAAAATATATATATATTTTTTTCTCCCCTCCTCAGTTTTTCCAGAGGCCTCAAATACAGCCTCCTAGAGCTACCATCCCGAACAGCAGTCCTTCCATTCGTCCTGGTGCACAGACACCCACTGCAGTGTATCAGACCAATCAGCACATCATGATGGTTAACCACCTGCCCATGCCGTACCCAGTGCCCCAGGGTCCTCAGTACTGTATACCACAGGTAAAGTATCTCTCAGATCCGTGTGGTCCATCAGCAGAGTGGGGATTAACTCAGATTCTCATCATAGGGAACAGGGAGGGTGGCTGGTAGCTTTGGTTTTTAGTGATGTGTGAATGTTTCTGTTGGATATAAGTCTGAGCCATTTTGTCATTTTTCATAAGATCATAAGGAGATATTTCTTCATCTCTTAAAATTTTCTAAGGTGATAGAGAAATTGTTTTTATATCCTAGCTTTCTCCCAATCCCTTACCCACAACCAGCTGCTCTAAAATAGAGTCCATAACTACCTGTTCCAGTAATACACCATTCAGTGTCATTGAAAGCTATCAGCCTGAAATAATTTTACAATGAGCTGATGTCTGCCTGTGCCCTGATTTGCTGTATGGCTTTACCTAAGGCACACCTTTTTTTTCATCCTCATTACATCTTTTTTTTTTTGATTGAAGTATATTTGATATACAATATTGTGTTCGTTTCAGGTGTGCAGCAAAGTGATTTGGTTATACATAAGTATATTCATTTTTTTCAATTCTTTTCCATTATAGGTTATTACAAGATACTGAATATAGTTCCCTGTGCTATACAGTAATTCCTTGTTGTTTATCTACTCATTGCATCTTAATGGCAAGCAGGTGTTTTGAACGTGTTTAACAAAGTGGCTTTACCTCCTTTAAATGATTCTCTTACATACACATACACGCGCGCGCGTGCACACACACACACACCTTTATTTTTCCATAGTAAGCTACCTTCATGTTACTTCCTAAATGTCTGTAACCCCTCTCTTGCAGTACCGTCATAGTGGCCCTCCGTATGTTGGGCCCCCACAGCAGTATCCTGTTCAGCCACCAGGGCCAGGTCCTTTTTATCCTGGACCGGGACCTGGGGACTTCCCCAGTGCTTATGGTAAGTATGAAAAATTAGGCAATTTCTGCTAGTTTGTTGTGCTTATTTCATTTTGTTGTTTGGCAGGTCAGTTTAGGTAGTGAGGTTTGGTGGTGTGAAAGATTTTTAAATAAAATGTTGCAAACAGTTCTGACCTGAAAGCTTTTTTTTTTTTTTTAGAGCGGCTTACAAGGAAAGAATATTATAGAAACGTATTTAGTTAATGACACCTTCTGAAGGAGCTGGTAATTCTGTTGCAAAGAGCCCATGTCTCAAGAGTCTGATGTCTGCTGCTGGCTCGTGATTACCTAGATTGTTGCTGGATTTTTGCTGAATGCATAAATATACCTTATCTCCCTTCCATGATTTCTTTTTTTCTAAGCATTTACCACCATTTACCAAAACATTTGTTAATGTTTTCTCACTAGAATGTAATATCCATGAAGGCAGGGAGTTTTATTTGTTTTGTTTACTGCTATATCCCTAGCACCTAGAGAACAGTGACTGGTAGGCACTTAGAGAATATACATGGGATGACTGAATTTAACTCAGTATACCTGTGATTTCTTTTCTGCAAAATTTTGGTAAGATCTGTGTCATGGGGAGGTTTTGAGGATTAGTTAAATGGAAATGCCTTGAAAAATTACAAGTATTTTTAATGTAGAGAAGCAAGCACCAAGCTTATACTTGGTGTGTGAACCGATACTAAACTAAGGAGTAATGAAAATTACTTATTTTATTCAGTAAATTTCTACTACATACCACACTTGTATTTTTCCCTTAGAAGGCGAATTATAAGTGATAAAATCAGCAAATACTAGAAAAGTTAAACTTTAAGATTCAGTAAGGGGACTCTCCTGGTGGTGCAGTGTTAAGAATCTGCCTGCCAATGCAGGGGACGTGGGTTCAAGCCCTGGTCCAGGAAGATCCCACATGTGTCGGAGCAACTACTCCCGTTTGCCACAAGTACTGAGCCTGCGCTCTAGAGCCCACAAGCCACAACTACTGAGTCCACATGCCACAACTACTGAAGCCCGTGCACCTAGAGCCCGTGCTCCACACCAAAGAAGCCACCGCAATGAGAAGCCCATGCACTGCAACGAAGAGTATCCCCTGCTCGCCGCAACTAGAGAAAGCCCGTGTGCAGCAGGAAAGACCCAGCAAAAATATTAATTAGTTAATTAATTAAAAAATAATTATTTAAAAAAAAATCAGTAAGCATTGCTCTTTTCCATTACAGTAAGGACATATTAAAATGTTAACTTGTTCTTTTAAGATGGTAACCCACCCTAGATAAACATGTATCCACTAACTGATTTCCTAACATTGGGATTAGTGGCTCAGTTTAAAACCTTTATAGAATAATTGATGGGTATTAGAATAACCCAAGAAGGTTTCCTTTAGGTTTTGAGGTGAAATAGGCAAAGCAACCAAGTGTTAACTAGCTTTGCTTCTTTTAGAAAAGGAAAACCTTTCTGTTACTTGTGAAACTGCTGTTTCAAAATGATATACTGTAAAACTTCATTGAATGTCTCAAATATATATGTTTATTTAACATGGCTTTATTAAGTGGTATTTTTACTAAGAAATACTTGGTATTTTCAGAACAATATGTGTTTACACATATGTTTAAAAGGAAAATAATATATGCACATTACCCAGCTTTAACATAGAATATTGCCAGTACTGTTGAGGTACTTGTGCATCCCTTGAACTTAGCTTTAAGGCACAGTTTTCACACAAGTCTAGTGCCTTTGTATTGGTACTTGCTCTGAAAATTTAAATCCAATTAAAATTATTTTGAGGTGTAAAATTGGCTGTTGTTGTTATCTAGAATTTATTGAATAGAAAAACTTTAAGATGAGATTATCTGTCAGAGTAAACATGTTGAAATTAACAGTATTTCTCTTTCAAATCCATGTTGCAAAGGGAATGCAATTGTATCTGCGAATTTACAAAATTATTTTGAAAGGTTTCTCACTGAACTTTAGTCTCCTGTTTATTTACGGATCACATAAATGATTTTTTGACTCAGAAAATATCATTAAATAAGTCTGTGCCAGCCCTCTTTCTTGCTCTTGAAACTACTGCTGCAGTATATATGGAAACAATATAGATGAGTTTACTAGTAGAGAAATATTTTGATGATGTGTATATACAGTATTATAATATTTTGGTTTTATTTATTTCTGTTATATATAAGCCATATTTATTTATTTTTACAAAACAATAGATTGAGGTGCAGTTGTATCTCAGATATTGTTGATGTCTGTTCCTTTTGATAGATATTCTTTCTTCCCCAGGAAATTCTTACATAGATCCAATAGACATTGAGTAGGTAGTTCATCACCTAGATTAAAACACTGTTTTCCTAGTTTCCTTAAGATTAGAAAGACGATCTTAAGGTAGTTTTTCATTATGAAAGTAACCAAGTTGATGAAAAATACAAATAATGTAGGACATAAAAAGTTGAAATAACCAATTTTTGTCCCTCCTTACTCCCTAAAGCAATAATGATTTAACAGATTGAAACATATTTTTTTCATTCATATTTAAATAATTTTTAATGCAAATGGGCACATACTATTTTTAATGTTCTAAAACTTCCTGTTTTTTTTCCCCCATCTCACGACATATTCATGGACATCTTTCCACTTCATTGCCTATAGAATTTCAAGCTACATAGTATTCCATTTTAAGAATAAATCATAATCTAGTTCTCTGCTGATAGAAGTTTAGGTTCTTTTTGTTATTTGGGCATATGTTTTAGTTTTAAAGCCTGTCACTAGTTAGTATGTTTTTATCAGAATCAAAAGTTGTAATCTAATCATTCCCATCAATTATAGGTCCTCCAGCTATATTGCCTTGGTCTTATGATGTAGAAGCCATAAACATTCCCCTTTCTATTTCCTTTTCTTGGAATCTCCCCTTCTCTTACCTTTTCACTTCCATTTCTTAATTTCCCTCTGATCCTGATGCCTCCCCTTTCCTCTTCATCTCTCCTGTCCTGATCTGGGGTTGGGTTAAAGGTGGGTGTGGGGATGGGATCCTACTTCTGTGTTCCAAAGCAGGAGTCCTTTCTTCTAGGGCAGAGGACCTTCCTTTATCTGAACTGGCAAGGAATGAATCCAAGACTTGTTCCTTCTTGCTCTACTGCTGGAGTTTGTGAGTTGGGTGGGCTTCCCCCCCCCCCCCCCCCCC